CCCCCCCTGTCTTTACAGGCATACACTGGCCTGCCTCCCAGGGTGCAAATCACAACAAAGTCATTTTGAAGCCAATGAGAGGGCTCAGCCTAATTGAGCTGAGAGCATTGAACCTCATTGTTGACTGGTTTCAGGATGGTATAGCTCTTCATTAATTCCTTGAAACACTAGACCAGTTTTAAAGTCTTAGCATAGGAGTTCAACTACTGTAAAAGACCCATTCCCAAAAGGTCTCACTGTAGGACTCTTCATGGGGCTGATTAGCACTAGCTTTCTGAATTAGCTGAAGTAGGAATTTGGCATATTTCTCTTAACCCTGGTCTGTGCTGTCTGCTGCAAGGTGACTTTGGTTCCTTGTTATTGCCTGATGTCTTTAATTACTAAAGCAACAATGTCATATAGGCCCAGCCCTACCTCAGTGAACTTCAAAAGAGAGGACTAGGTTTATATAAACACTATGCTGTGAATCTACTAAATGCCTAGTAGAAGTTCCCCCGTACACTTGGAAACAACGGCAGGTAATTTTTTTCAAGGAACATGCACACTGTAACTCAAATGGGGAAAGTCATCTTTAACATAAATCCTGATGTGGCTCAAAAGCTCAGGCTTGTCTTTTCTTTTCTGAATTAATACAGATTATTACAGCAAGAAAAAAATTTTTCTGTTCTGGTGAACATGAAACCAATGGTTGAATTAACCTTTAATTACCAAATATGGCCTAGTAGTACAGCTGGTTATAATTACAAACATTTAACTGTGTTCTGCAGGGACATGTTTGAGTTTCAGTAAGCTGTGCAGGTGCTAGCCTCCGTATTTTTCACTGCATTCTTTAGGCTATTGTTCAAATATTAAGGTCAATCCTGGAAAGTTTTTGGCATTTTACTAAAGTTTGTCAGTGTGACATGTTTTAAAAAGTCTGTAACACATAAAATGAACATTTAGTGCACTTTATCCCCTGAATAATGTGCTTTTGAACTTTTTTTTTTATTCTATGCCTCTCTGCACCAATGCTTAAAAGTCCAACATTCAGGTGCTGTTTATAAAATCTCTCACATTGCAGAACATCTCTATTAGATCCATTACAATGAATGATGATGGTCCCAGGCACAAATTAAACATACCTCTCTTCCCAGCACCAGCAGGCTGACACCTCTGAATTGTAGTATTTCAGAAAAGGTGACTCAGGGATAGCAATTTACCTTAGTGATATTAATCACATGATGCATAATTTTTTTTTTTTAATTAGTAGAGCTACTTTGGCCAGTTTCCCTCTGGAAACCACTGGCAACTTAGCTTATTCAAAGAACCTTAAGGAAATAAGTAAGCTGAATTGATTTTGTTCACAGGGTGATTGGCTCCAATTGTAATAGAGTTGCGAGGTGTATGACTTTATTTCGCAGAAAAAAAAAAATCAACCAACCAACCAAAAACCTTTTTCAATGAGTCAGAAATTTTCCAGTAATCATAGCCATTATAAATAGTTTTGATATAGACTGAGCCAGGAAACTAAGTTATCCACAGTAAAATACACAGAGATTAGAAATTACATTAAAACAAAGCCATTCAATAAGTGTCCCATGAATTGCTTTGAAAAGTATGTGGGTACCACAGCCGTCTTTATTTGCTCTGAAATAGGCTATGCAAGCGCTTGTTCTTTCAACACATTAAACTGGCCGGAGACATTTACTGGATTAAGTGCTTATATTGCGACTATACGCTCACTGGAATGCTGAACCACCTGTAGCAGGAGCTTTTCAAACTACTGGTGTACACATATATACATGCACAAAACTGTGATGCAGAGTGGAGAAAAAAAAATCATGGAATCAAAAAAGATTGAGGGCGGAAGGGACCTCTGCAGATCATCTAGTCCAACCTCCTGCTCAAGCAGGGTCATTTAGAGCACACTGCCCAGGATTGCGTCCAGGCGGCTTTTGAATATCTCCAAGGAAGGAGACTCTACAACCTCTCTGGGCAACCTGTGCCAGGGCTCAGTTACCCTCACAGCGAAGAAGTTTTTCCTCATGCTCAGAGAGAACTTCATTTTTTTTAGTTTGTGCCCACTGCCTCTTGTCCTATTGCTGGGCACCGCTTGACACCTTCCCTTCAGATACTTCTACACATTGATCAGATCCTCCCTCAGTCTTCTCTTCACCAGGCTGAATAGTCCCAGCTCTCTCAGCCTTTCCTCATATCAGAGATGCAAAAATGCCTTTGACATACTCAGAAAATAGATGCGCAGCAATAGAGGCGGCTATAACCACACACGTCAACTTCTTTTTACATCTGATATGTACATTACATATTTCAATACAGAAAGTATTTAAATATTTAGTAAAACTAGCATGATAACCTTTATATAGTGTCCTCAGCTTGCAGATGAAAAGCATAAGCTTTTCTTCGAGAATGCACAGAAATTCCCTAACATTTTAAAGCAGATTTGTTATTACTTCACAGCTCTCTTGATGTTTAATAACTATTTTGCTTTCATTTCTGTTCTATTTACTAGAGAATCTTACAGTGAAATACTTAGAACATGCATTCTGCTAAGAAAGTGTTTGAGAAAATAAATCAAACTTTGGTGCGAAACAGAACTTGGTTTCTCTTGGCTCATCTCCTAAATGAGCTTTTTCTCATGAAGTTTCTGTTTCAAGGGCAGCGCAGCAGCAGTATTATGTCATTGAGTGCTTCAGAGCAACTCTGCCATTGGCTAAAAGCCCACAGAAAGCACAAACCATTTCATTATTTCACCACAGAGTAAGCATCTGGGACCCAGAACTTCACGCTGCAGAATCTTTTATGCTTTCCAAGACAGTAGGATTTATTTTTTTTGACTTTGGCAACCCATGGGGTAAGGGAAGGGGCTGCTAACAGAAAGGAGTACGTAGCTTCTTCACAGACATTGTAAAAGGATGTTGCTGTTTGTGGTATCTCTGCTGAGATGCACTTGAGTCCAGCCCTCACTGCCAAGCTGAAAATGAATCCATATATCCCAAGAGGCTCAGAGCCTTAAAAAGCCCTTGATGCTCTTTGCTTTTTGGTTGTCAAGACTCTTTCAGAAGACTGAAGTAGTGAGAGCAGCTCTCCAGGAGACAGACTGTTTTCCTATGGGAGACTTGCAAAGTTGCCAGATGAATCTTAAGATAAAAAAAAACAAACAAAAAACATATAAAAACATCCTCTTCCCTTGCCTATTCTCACCCTTTCCCAAACGTTAGGAAGCCAGAGAGGCAGTCCTTTATAACTGGCTACGGAAACCGGATAAAAATATTTCACTGAGAAGTCATGTGCAGAAGACACCTGTGCTATAGTTCCTCCTCCAGTGTGTAAAAAGAAGGGAAAACAAACATGGTCCTCTGACAGCTACATCCAGCACCGTCCTGTGCAGCTCGCAATACCTGCCTTACTCAGCTGCTTATATACAGGTATGCCTCCCTCATAGCACATTGATGACAAGCCTACTAATAATTTGGTAATCTTAGATACTATAACACTTAATGCCAAAAGCAAGTCTATGAAGTAGATAATCTTGCCCCGTATCTGTATCAAACACGTCGCATTTGTCAGTTATTCTGAGAGATTTTGTTAACGTTCTAAACTCCCTTCCCATAAAAAAATGGCACAATTTTGAAGGAAACATCTGAACTAATCGCAAGCATTTAAGTAGAACAAGACAGGCTTCATGGTTTCTTTCCAGCTTAAAAGTGCTTAGATTGCTAGGAAAACCCAAGCAAGCCCTATACTTTACGAAGAGAAGGAATCATTTAAAAAAAAAAAAAAAAAAAAAAAAGCCTTGTGAAAACCTTTAACAAACAAACTAGTACCTTGGATGTAGGTACTTTACCTGCATTATCTCTAAGATAGCAACTTCGATATTATCTTTCACCTTCTGCACGGACTCTCCCCAAGCCAGGCGTTGGAACATCCTTGTTTTATTCCTAGAGCTGTAACTACTTCACTCTGCAACCATAAGTCTATTTATTCACTCACATATAAAACTGTTGTAATATTTACCTCAGATGTGCAGGCTGGACTGAAATTTGTGGAGGAAAAGAAATTTTTAGAAGTACAGGTTCATATTCACAGCATCATTTGTGGCTAGCACTACTAAAAAAACATAACTTATAAAACTCCCTTAACTATCAATCAATTATAGCATTTTAGCCGCTCATGCTCCCCCTCAGTTGAGATCGCCATCTTAAACAAGTAGAAGTCTTGCTGCAGGCTCAAAAAGTCTTTTGTAAGACTTACCAATGTGCTGACACAGCAAAGAATCAAAACTAGGTACGTCTGTTTAAAAAACCTCTTCTCTCTATTGCTCTTTATAAGGCGAGAGCTGAATTTTCCTTGCATGTTTTCCGAGAGAAGAATACACTGCCAGAAGCCAACGCACAAATGAAACAAAGCTGGAAATGCAGCAGTTCGCGAGGACAGCACACGCAAGGCAGCGGGCCAGAAAGCTACAGAGCATGCAGGGCTTGCAGGCCTGCAAACACAGTAATCAAGTGAGACAAACTAGCTCTGCGAGTGAATGGCAGTGTCAAATTGCTCCTCATAATCACGTTGCCAGTTACCACTCTGACCTTCCCTTATGTCACAATTTCTGCTGCTTCCCTAGTTTTTCCACATTTTTTCTTCTGCTCTTACTGGTCTCAGAAATTCCGTCACATCCATCTTTAAGCAGGTCACAAATTCCAACCTCGCTTCTCTAATCCCTTTTCTTCCATCTCCACAGAAGCCATACACCTCCTACCCCCTGCCACCACCCCAACTTTATTTCTTCTTTAACTCTATTCCTTGCTTCCTTCTCATTACAGGCACTCACCATTTTCTCTGCTCTGCCCCGTACTTCTCACTCTCAAATCCAGAATTTCTATTGTCATTCTCTCCCTTCATCTCCTTCAGGTATCCTCCTTTCT